ATATATATATATATATATATATATATATATATATATATATATATACACACACACACACAATTTAGTTTTGGTATATATAGGTATATGTATACATACATGTTTTTGTTTCCAAGTTTAGATAAATATGAAATTACATCTTTCATATTTACTGTTTTGGTTTTTCAAGTTTAAATATAAAACAATTGAATATAATTGGAAAGTACATTTTTGTTTCATGTTTACATGCTTACATATGATTTTATCAATATTAATTTTATTTAGTTCAATGAAATCATGTTTATTGTTTTGAAAGTTTGCAAAACAAGTATTTTTATGAAAATATTATTTTCTTGGTTTATAGACTTAACAATAATCATATACATCTTTTATTAAGTCTACAAAATTATTTTGTAAAGTTTCAAAACATGGCTTAGCCAAAATATCAAAATTTATATGTTTACATTTATATGTTTTGGACTATTTTGCAAAATGATGATATTTTATATTTGGGAAGTCCTTTTTGAAAACCAGTTTTTGTATCATGCTTATTATCATGTCTATAATCATTTCCTAAAGTTTTATATTTTTCTGAATTTATTTGATATTTTTAAACCCAGTTTAAAGTTGAGTTTTTCTGTGCACTTCAGGTATGTGCATGTTTAGTCGACTCATGAGTCGACTCATAAGTCAACTCACGAAGTGCATCGGAGTTGTGATTTTTCTCCTGCTAAGTCGACTCATAAGTCGACTTATGAAAGAGTCGTTGCATAATAACGGCTAGTTTCTAACAATGTTTTCTGGTGGCTTTTTGGTCTTTTTGTTGGGGTTTTTGCTGATGTTTTGGGTTCCTATATATACCCCCTTTGCTCTCATTTTTTGGTAAAAAAAACTAAAAAAATATTTTAATCAAGTTTAACACAGGTTTAAGTTTGTTTAAAGGTGTTTAAAGTGTTGTTTCAAAGTTTCGGTTTTGTGAAGATAATTTCACAAGAGGAAGAAGAGAACATCCTTTGGTGTTTGAGCTTCAACTCATCTCTCTCTCTCTCTCTCTCTTGATCTATAGAGAAGTTTTCCTAAACTCATTCTAGCTATTTATTGTGATCTATAGAGAAGTTTTCCTAAACTCATTCTAGCTATTTATTGTTTTGTTTCTAATTTCCATAAGCTGGATTTATATTGAGTTTAGTTAAATTGTTTTTATTAAATCTCTTTGTTCACACACAACCTATTGAGCTTATAGTACTTACATTCATAGTATAATTTGGATTGTGTGGTTTGTGACTTAGAGTTATGCCTAATTGAGTTCTCACCTTGTTTAGAGAATAATCATTTGTATTGAGCCTTTATTGTGAGATCACATTGTAATACACTTATACACTGAGAGGAGTGTGTGGTGAGGACGGAGTCGATACCGAGAGGAGTGGTGTCAGTGGCCTAGTGAGAGGTGATAATTCTGAGCACTTGAGGGAGTCGATATGTGAGGACCAACACTTGAGGTTGTAGCTTGTGTATGTACATTATGAGGATTTGTGAGAGTTGTCGGTTGACTTGATAACCGAGTGTGTAAAGTTTTCAGTTAGCTAGAAAACCGAGTGTGTAGAGAAGTTCCGGCTTCCAAACCAGGTTGTGTAGTGAATTCTCCTCGAGAGTGGGGAGCGGGGACGTAGGACGGAAGGTCCGAACCTCGTGAACATATAGCGTGTTTGGTTTGTATTGGCTCTTATAACTGTTCATCTTATAGCCTATTGCATCTTGTTTATATTATCCACTAGTTTGTTTCACCCTTGTGATAGTTTAAATATATCATTGCATATACAATATAGTATATCTCATTGCTAGGATATATCACCTTAGTTATATTGCTTATTCTTGCTCATATCACATTGTATATCTATCTTGCAAGAATAATTTGTTAATAAGTTTTAATTAGCATTTAAATCAAATTAGATTAGTGTAAACCCTATTCCCCCATCCACATCCCCATAGTTAAATAACTAGTTTTAGTTGATTAATATGATGTTTATTATATGCTTTCATGTTTAATCTTAACTTGTGACGTTAAAAGTTAGATTTTTGATGTTGAAACTCAGTTAAATGCTAGACCAGTAACTTTTCCTTGTTGTTTATGATAGAATCGTGATCATGATCATTAGGGTTTCATTTAATTTTGTTTTTAATCTTTTAAACATGCTTAATTCATGTGTAAACCCTAGTTTGATGTTTAATTATCTTTTTATGTTAATTAATCATGTTTAAACCTTAGGGCGGTGTTTCCTAATTAGTCTAATCATGTTTAAATGAATTTTTATGCTTCTGCCCTTTGTCAAAAAACTAATCATGTTATGATAGTTATGTAATATTTCATGTCAATATTGAAAATCTTGAATAATCATGTAGTTAACCCTAATTCTTTTTAATACAAGTGTTAAACCATGTGATATGACCTCTGTTAATTAGTTTTTGGATGTTTATAACATGTTTCCTATGATCCATGTTGATTAGAATGAGTTTTGTTTGAGAAACACCGTAGAAAACATCGAAACAAAAATCTAGAAGTCTACTAAGTCGACTTATAAGTCGACTTGCCATAAGTCGACTTATGTCAGACATAAGTCGACTTACGAGTAGATTTCCAGATTGTTTTCAATTTGTTTTTGCACTGTTTTGATACGCGTTCAAGGGATTCGAGGTGTACTTTTATACACGCTTGTTCTCAAATACACAAGTACTGTGTTGTTGCACACACATGATTATCCCGAAGAGGATTATGACGAGTTTTGATCCGATTATATTGAACTAGAGGTTGTTTATTCAAGTTTAGTACTACGTGGGGTAGTACGTCGATATACTTATTGTACATGCCATTGAGTCAGATTTTTGGAGGCTTGATCTAGTAGTCTGTTCCGTACTAGGGTACGATGAGGCTCGTGAGCCGTATTTCTAGGATGTCTATTTGGTAGTCCGTCCCGCACTCATGTTACGCACTGAGTTGCGATGAGACTAATGATCTGAGTATACAGTTAGGATGCCGACTTGGTAGTCTGTCCCGCATGATACTACGATGAATCACAACTTGCATGGATTTGCATGGTGACGATTTTTGATAGCCTGAGTCCATGACGGATGCCAGTTATACATAAGACTCGTCGTTGAGATATAATACTGAGATACTTTGCTCTTGAAAGTATACAGGATTATATGTTGGTATTTATTCTATCTTCCAGTGATAGTGGAAGATATTATAAATAGTTATACATAAGACTCATCTTTGAGATATAATACTGAGATACTTTGCTCTTGAAAGTATACAGGATTAT